TTTTTTTTTTTTTTCTCAAAAGAAAAAATTCTTTTTCTATTATGGAAATTTAGATTCTTTGGAATTTTAAGGGAGGAAATCATAATGTTGTTGAAAGTTCAGGCAAGCATTCATGTGAAATGAAAGAGGATCCTACTGCTTGTAAGTGAATATTTGTTAAAAAAAAAAAAAAAAAAATTTTTTTAACTCTATTTATTTTCGATTAAATTAATAATATTATTCATTATTTCTTAGTTCAATCTTTAACAAATCCACCAACTGGAAATTTTACTTTAGAAATCACAGCCGAAAAAGATACAATTACTTATATGTGTAGTGTTGGTTCCCATTGTTCAGCTGGTATGTGGGGTGTCATTTATGTTGGCGGAACTGAGCCACCTACATTTGTCAAACCAACTCCATCTAATAAGGCTAATAAAGATAATGACAACAATGCTTCTGAAAATGAAATGAACAATACTGGTAAAGTTGCTGGAATTGTAATTGGTAGTATATTTGGTTTTGCCATGATTTCAGCTATAGGATTTTTGTTGGTTAAACGATGCAGATCTAAACAAAGAACAGTTCCTACAGCTGAAGGAATTAAGAGAGTCGTTGATAATACTGATCAGGCAACAAAAGATACTCATAAAGCAAAACTTGAAAATGTATAAATTAGTAAATTATTTATAATTTTTTTTTTGACAGGAATTAATATAGGTGTTTTATAATAATGTTCTCTAACGATAACTCTGTTACAAATTTAATAATAAATATTATATTATTGTTAATAAGTTAGATTTATGAATTAATTCTTTCACAAAAAAGGACATAAAAATTCAGAAAATTTATCGTGCATACCACAAAAATCACGTGAATGATGCATCGTTAAGTCGTTATCATTTCGACGTAATTTATTTCGCAAGAAGAACAATGAGAACGGTTTTTATTGGCTTAATACGTCAGTATGTTATCTTAATTTCGTAATGTCAGTAATGTCAGAATTTCAGCCAGGAGCTTGTTTATAATTAGTTATTTTCAAATTTAAGACGATAATTTATTTAAAATGTTTTTCCTATTTTACAAATTTTTTTTTTTTTATAAAATTTTACAACTACAACTACAAAATAAGAAATTGGAATAAATAAATTTTTTTTTTTTTTTTTCTAAACCAAATTAAGTAACTTCTTCGATTTCTTATTCTTTCTTCTAAAAATATTTCTTAAACTAGTTACTCCAATATTCGTTATCTTTTTAGCATTCTTCTTCTCTGCGTTCAATTTATTTTTATCTTCATCGGAAGAAGTGGTAACTTCATCGTCTACATCTAATAACATATCAAAATACCTTATTAATTGTTCAGCCCCACATTCTCTTGCAATCGCTTCAATATCATCAACATTTTCTTCATTCACTAATTCTTTAAGTGCTTTTTCACATCTTTGAACTAAAGTATGAATCAAAAACCTAGATGCTCCATATATTAAATCAATCCAATCCTCGATAGATTCTAATTCTAAAGTAATTTCACCAATATATAAGAATTCTAATATAATTTCTAACGTTTTTGCTGAAATATCTTTAAGGATTAATGACCCATTATTTGATTCAATCATTTTTGAATCTAAAAGAGCTCTAAAATAATCTGATCTCGAAGATAATACTTTTGTATGAACATAATATTCTTGATTTTCTTTAGATTCATTAATTTCAAGAGAAATGATAAAATCACTAGTCTCTTTATCATTAAACAACATTTCTTCTCCTTTTTCTCTGATAATTTCAGGTAAAGGATCACATACAATATCAGGTACTAATTCAACTTTAACATCAAATCCAAAAGTTTCATCATCATCCACTAAATCATCACTTCCACCAGTTCTTTTTTGTCTAAATAATTGAGTTTTTTGCCATGCATCATCTATATCTCCTCCGATTAAGTCAACTTTTAATTTAAATCCATACTCTCCTTTAATTAATGACGAAACATCTTTCAATGTATTATCACTTTGATATTTATATTGATTATCATGTGTACATGTGGGTAGTAGATCGGAATTGATCGGATGAAAGGTTGGAGTTGGATTGGACCGCGTCGGTAATGGAGAGATTGACCATCTTATTGAGACAGAATCATCAAATGTACAATGTTTTAATCGAAGATTTAGAGAGGATATTAAAAAATTTCCAGAACGATAATCGAATTGCCAAATTATATAACCTGGTTCGGTTGATCTATCGGTATCAGGTTCTCTCGCTAAATATACCCTATAAAAAAAAAAATTGATTCGGTGAGTATATTCAAACTAAAATATACTTATATATGAATATATTATATATATATATAATATATATATATATATATATATATACAATTATACATTTTAAACTTACATTTGTAAATCAAGTTCGTTATCAACTTTATAAGCAATATTATCATATTCCATACATCCTTTTTTCCAAGATTTTAAATATTTTTTATTAAATATACTATTTTCATAATAAGCATTATTCCTTGTGTTATAAGATATTCTGTGTGTAAATTGATTTGATAAACTTGAATTATTATTAGGTATGACGTGTAACCTATATTTATTATTTAATAAACCTAATGCTGGTGGTTTCGTTAATTTAGTAGTAAACCCGGGTGAATTGGGATCTATAGTACTATTAGTGCTGGCCGTTTCAATATCTATTTTACGTCTGTAACGAGGCAAAGTTTGAAAATAATATGCTGACATCTTGTATAAATAAATAAATGAATTCGTGGAAAAAAAAAAAAAAAAAAAATAATAATTTTTTTTCTTAAAAAAAAACTTAAAAGTTTTTTGTGCGCCCCTACGAATTTTTTTAGCTATTATTATTTTTATACTTTTTTTTCTTCAATAATAATGCAACATATGCAACAAGTACAATGAAGATAAGATTTTATTGTTCATCATTAATCATGTGATTACGAATATAATATGTTTGTTCTTTGCATTTTTCCCTATAATTATCGTTTATTTAAAATTCCTTTTATTGATATGTCAAAAAGAAATTAACGGGATTAACCTTACATTGCGACAAGCGTTCATTAAAAAAGATTCGTTTAATGGTTGTTTGTTCGGTTTTATCATAAATTACGCATTTACGCATAAAATTGCTTTCTCATTATAATTAACAAATATTGGAATATATAGAGTAAATCTTTTTTTTTTTTTTACCTCTATTGAGGCGCCAGAAATAGGATATAATAATTCTTTGGTGTGAGAATAAAAAGTGAGACCAGATTATCAAGTTCGATCGACCGCAGTCGATAATTTTTTTTTTAAAGGAAATCACGTGAATCACTAACTTAATTAAATATTTTCAATAACTTTTTCCTTATTTAATTATTTACCACAATAAAAACGCTTTCGTCTAAAACCATTTTCTTCCAAAATTCGAACCATTTCTCTCAGCATAAGTTCGAACAATAATTTGAAAATCACTTTGTTGATCAAAACTAATTTACGCTAATCTTAATCGTAGTAATAAAATTATGTAACAATATCTTCTTTTATTTTTTCGTCCGATCAATTATTTACTTTATTTATATGGTCACTTTTTCTCTTATTTAATTATCTACTTTCAATTCATTCGAATTCTATTATTTAAATCACGTTACTATGGCTTTTCTTTACACTTATGAAATCTTTTTAATAATTCTCTCAATTGACGCCAGTCTTCCTCATAAGGTAATAATTAATAGATAATAAGGACTAACTTATATTGTAAATATCAAACAAACAAGAACTTCCGAGGATTTTTTCCAAAAATGCATCCAATGCATATGGCGCGTTTCACACAATTCCGTAAATTTCATATGTCGATCTTTAACGTTTCGGTTTTCACATCTTTTTTCTGTTTTCTTCAGATGGGTCGGTCATATTCTGAGCTGTTTCATAATTGCATATAATGCATTTTAATAAATTTGATTCATCATTGTTTATTTTTTATCCAATTAATGGGCTTTTTTAAATAAAAACTTTTTTGTCAAATTTTAATGGATGAATGATTGTATAATTCTAATAATTATATGATCACAATTATATTATTATAGGATCAATAATATAAACAGTCTAACCAAAAGGTAATAAAAGCTTATATTAATAAGTTTTCATTTACAGGTTGAGTTAAACTTGTCAATAAAATCTCTTTATGAAACTTTAGGCAAAAATTTTGTTAAATGTTAACGTAAATCTTATATCACATTCTAAATTTAAATTATTCAACAAATGGAAATTATAACAATATATATTAAAAATTTATGTCTAACACATAATTGTAAAAAAAAAATCCTAAAAAATTGTAATTTTTAAATGTTTAACTTTTTGAATTATATTTTTTAAATTCAATATACTATATATAAATGATATTTTTGCTTTTTTTTTATTTTAAATACCATACCTTCAAATATTTTACTACTATTTTACTTAATATATCTTTAATTTATTAGTATTATAATTAAGTAAATTCTATATTTTTTAAAAAATATACTTACAATACTTACAATTAAATTATTGCTATATAATTACTATAATATAAAATATAATTTATTGTTTTATATTTTTAAAATTATTTAGTTTGACCTAATCTATTTAGAGTTCTATTTAAAGCTATCTTTTTTCACTGCTATATTTCAATGCAATTTTAGTTTATTAAAAAATATACCATTTAATTTGTAATAAATATTTAGTATTAAGTTTTTGGATACATCATTAAATATATATTTTTTTTCAAACTTTTTGATTCTTTTACCAATCATAAAAAATATCCATATAAATTCTTAAAAATCATTATTTTTTTTTGATGCTTTTTAAAAATAAAACTACAATTATTTTTGCATTAATATTTAGAGAATTAAATACTATATTTTAATTTAAAGATTACAATAAATAGGTTTAAAATATTTTATAATTTTCAATTCTAAAACTAATATTTTTAAAATAATCTATATTTATAGAATTATTTAATTTTAAAAAGTGAAATTTTCATAATTTTTAATAATTTTTAAATTTGCATTAATTTATTATCCAGTGATTATAAAAGAATAAAACTTAGATTTGTCTTAATAAAATGCATCAAATAGTACTATATTTATTTTTATAGAATTAATAAGTAAATTAATAAATTATACATGTATATAAAAATATTACTAAATAAATTAACTTACAATTAATTTATTCCATTTTTTAGTATGTAGGAATTCTATTGATAAAATAGCCATTTGCATGAAGCAGAATTCATATATATATTAAATAATTTAATTGCTATTTGTGATAATTTTAAAACTGAATTACTTAAGAATGACCAATAATTTAGTAAAGTTTTTGCTAATTCTCTTATAAAAAAAAATCATTAAATAAAAACTTATTTTCTTTATATACTAATAATTCTCATATTATAGAATTTGGTTTATTATTAAACTATTTAACAAAATAATATTAAACCCTCTTATTAAAATTAATGTATAAAATTTTAGGATTAGGAATAAAAAATTGTAATTTATAAGAAGAGTATAAAAAAATATAAAATAAATAAAAGTTGCTCCTATGTTTTCCAACAATTTTCTAGTCTTTTGTTATCATTTCTTTATAATTTTTATCATCACATTCCAAAGTACATGTTTTATTAACTTACTTCCTTGAATTATACAACCTAGGTTAAATTATCCCACCCTTATAAAAAATAATTTATAAATTTAATATTTTTATTTATAAGTTAAACTAAAGCTAAAATTATTATACATTTATAATGTTGAAATAAAGAAATAAAATAAAGAGAAAAAATAAAGAGTACTAAAAGGAAATAATAAAAGATAAAAAATAAGAAAATGGAATGAAAATAAATAAAAATAAAGAAAAAGATAAAGAAAATAAATATTGAAAATAAACATGAAAATGAAGCAATTAAAAAAGAAATCAAATTCAAAAAATAAAAAATTTATGAAATCAAAATGAAATCAATGATAAAAATATATGTTAAATAAAACAAAAAATATTGAAATAAACTAAAGTCTAAAAATAAAGAGATTAAATAATACTATAAGTATAAAAATGAAATTAAACCACTTGAAAAGAAAAGAAAATTTAACTAGAATCTACAAAAAACCTGAAAAGAAACCAAAAAAAATACAAGCATAAATCCAAAAGAAATCCAGGAAAACTAAGAAGAAATTCAAAAAAAAAACCTGATCAAAAAAGAAAGAAAAAGGACTAGTTAATTACTGTAAAGAAAAATAAATATCTGAAATTCTAAAAAACCCGAAATTTACTGTTTATTAAGATACCAAAGAACTTACAAAAAAAAGAAAAAAAATGGTTAATTAGTAAAGATAAAACAAATAAATAAAGCTAAAAAAAGATATTGTATTAAAAGGTCAAAATTTAAAACGTTAAAGGTAAAAGAACAAAGAAGTATAAAAGACTAAAAGATGTTTTGATAAACAAATAAATAATATATAAAACGTTATGACGCTTATGACTAGATGATTTTATAATTAATAAATTTTCATAATCCTAGTTAAATCATCTCAGATTAAAATTAGTTTATACTTGCATAAAATATCCAAAAACATATAATACATTATATAGTTGAGCTTTATCTTTTTGTAATATATTTAATATTAAACAATATAAGTAAAAAATATGTTTTAATTCTATAAGATTTACCCAAAAATCTGAACTATTGAAAATTGTTATGATGTTGTTAGCTATTATTTCACTAGAATTTTCTTCTATAGATAAATTATCCTGAATTATCGTTATATTACTAAAATTATTTCTTTCTACTAAAGGCTAAATAAATAATTAAAATAAAAACAGTTTATAAAATAATTGTGTTAGTAAAATAATTTATCTTTAATGTACGTTTATTTTTAAGAATTGACTAATAACAAAAATAGTAAAAATTCCAATATGTATTATTAGGTTATATTAATATAAAATATTTATTATATATTTTTTTTGCTCATTACAAAGATTTTTTGTGAATTTTGATGATGAATTAAAATATTTAACAATAGTAGTTGTATTTTTAGAAGTTTTAAGAAATTTTAATAATGATTTAAAAATATCTATAATATAACAATTTCTTGATATATAAAATAAAGTAAAAAGATTACATTTTTATGCATATTTTTTAATTTTTTCTAAAAAAAAAACTAAAAATATTATTAGAATAATACTACTATAATAATTTAATATAAATATTAATTAAAAATACTTACTGAATTACATTGTAAGAAAAAGCAAAATCAGTAATAATAGTATTTATTTTTATATTTTTTGCTTTAATTTTATTTAAAATCTGTTAATTTGATTGATTAATATTTCAGTATTTTTGTGATCTTTGCTAGACTTTTTATATTAATACTTGTTTATCTAATCTTGTAATTGCTAAGCCTAAAATATTTTGCTTAACTATGTTTTTTCTAAATATGTAATTTTAAAATTTTTACATTCAGATAAATGTTTATCAATATTAGGAATTGTATTTGATATTTTTATTCTTTATACTTCTGCCTTGATCCAAATATAATCTTTTTCTTTTATATAATTGGCATATTGCTAGATAATTACTTTGATTAATTTTAATATTTTTTTTTACATAAACAAATTTATAAAAGTAATGTGAAAGCTAATGCTTCTAAAAATTCAAATCAGATCAGAATTTTAGTAATCTAATTTAATCTGATCTGATTTGAATCAAATCTGAAAAATATTATCTTGTGATCTAGTAATTGGATTTTAATAATTTTTTTTTTTGTTTTATAGATTATATTAAGCTGATTAAAATAAAAAAATTTATTAAAATTAAACTGCTAGATCATAAGATATTTACAAAAAATGTTGTTAATTTAAATTATACTGTATTATCAATCTGATCAAATCAATCTATTAAGAGCATTAATAAAGGCTTTTCACTATAGTTTAATATATTGGAAAAAATTTTTTAATATAAAAATAAAAAATGATTTTTATGATCTAAATTTAATTTAATAATATATTTAAATAATGTATATATTATACTGGAATACTGGAATTAACTTCAGAACAGATTTCCAATATTCTATTGAAGATTCTAATATTCTATTATTCCAATATTCCAGTTGTATTCCAATATTTCAGTTTCCAATTTCAGTAAATTTTTACTAGAAACTGGAATTTTCCATTATTAGACTATAATGAATTTAAAATATAAAATTTTAAAATATTTTATGAGAGAATCCTAAACATCACATATATAACTCATAACTGATTTGCATGAATTTAGCACTTTTTATTTTTGCTAAAATAGATTTAATTTGCTAAAAATTAAATTATTATATTTTAAATTTATACTAATTTGCTAAAACTCAAAATATAAGTTATAGTAAAATTCTATTTAAATTTGCTTAAGAGATAGATCGTCATTCAACTGGAGAAAATGATCAACATTCTATAATTAATTTTACGGGTTTTGTAATTAATAAAAAAAAATTTTTTGGAATTTCTTGTTCTTTACTATAAATTTTTTTCCAATAAGTGAAAAAAAACAGTATACAATAACTTTCATGTCCAAAAAAAATATTTCATAAACTTGCACTATAAGTATACATATGTAGTTTTAGTAGAAACTGTATAAGTTTAACAAGAATGTGAATATTAAAAAGATTCAAATAAAACTAAATAAAGATTTAAAAACTAAATAAAAAACCAAATATAGCTTAGTTACAGTGAAAAATATTCAAAAATTTTTCATCTAATATTTGGGTTAATAGGAAATTTACCATCAGAATCTTGCGTTCTTACATAGAAAAGTCAAAGATACGAAACTCTAGCGATTTCAAACTTTGCAAGTGGCTTAGCTAGGATTGTCACTATTAATTACCGTCTTTAAAATTTGTGTATCATATCACATAATGATATGACAATCCAGTAAAAAAGAAGTATTAGCCATTTTTAGCGATAATTTGCATAAATCGGCATTATTAAAATTCTCCGGTTGAGTGATGATTTGTCCCTTAATAAAATATAATTTCAGTTTATTAAAATTATTTGTAAATCAGTAAATTTAATTGTCAATTTACCGAAATTAACAATTTTTTTTTATTATTAATAAAAAAATAATTAATTAATATAAATTAAACTGTTAATTTTTATAATTTATAATTAAAAATATATAGATTATAGATAAAATAATAATTAATAAAAATAATAAATTAAATATAAATAATTATTAAAAATAAAATGTTGCGAAATTAATCAGATAATTTTTGGCTTGCATTATGCTTAATTTTGGCCATAATTATACTTAATTTTAGCCAAAATATAATCTAGACTTCAAAACTAATATTTTAAAAATATTATCTATAAAAGTTAAAAAAAAAGGATAAATTAAATTTAAAAAAAAGTAGAACTCCGCCTATTATTAAAATAGGTCACCCTGTGGCTTAAGGTAAGGTTTACATATAAAACTCTTTGAAGATTCTACTATAAAAGGAAATTTTATGTTACATTGTTATAATTTTTTTTCTTTTGGTTAATTAACCAATAAAATTTAAGCAAATTCTAAGGTAAGGTTTCATATGAAAGTGAAATTTTTACCAATAACATATCTTAATAGTAAGTGGAGTCCTAAAAAAGTACCAATTTGCTTAAATATAAAATATGACTTTGTAAAATCAATACAATTTGCTAAAACTTATAATTATAATTATTAATTAATTTTCAATCACCCGATCCTAAAAAAAAAGAAAGAACGGTTATTAGTAACTGTTCGTAATATTAAAAAAAAAAATTTAAAAAAAACAAACCAAGATTCGTACTTACAAATCTTGGTTCTTCTTTTCCCGAAGGTCAGAAGCCCACTCCACCCGATCTTAAAAAAAAGAAAGAACGGGTGATTGTACAGTTTGTGGGATGCATAAGAATCGATTTGCTTTATCTAAAATTATGAGTTTAACCTAATTTTGATTGAATTTGTTAAACCTCAAATGTGAATTATATATGTAATGTCTGGAGTTTTTTTACGAGTATATTTTGTAAGTTACCCATCAAGTTAGATATTATTAAAAATAAGTACTATTTAAGAATATGCTGGTTATTATTAAATAAATTAGTTTTAATAGAGTTAAAACTTAAGAAGAAAGATAAGAATTGGCAAATTACAATATATATTAAATTTAATTATGATAAAAAACTATGGTATTTTAGTTTTTATATTTTATATATATTTATACTATAGTAATATTTATACTCAAAGTTATTATTTAAAGGTAATAAAAGTGCTTTTGTAGAACCTTATTTACTTATAAAATAAGTCATCTTTATATTTAAAATAAAAATCATATATAAAATTCTTTGCAGATTTTACTATAAAAGAAAATTTTATATTATATTGTTATGATTTTTTCCTTTTTAAATAAAGTTTTAAATGGCCTAAATTGGGAGTAACTTAGAACTGGACTGAAAAAATTAGTTTATTTTGATTTGATCCAGTTTATATTAAAAAAATAATCTGAAACAATAAGACTAGACTGAAATAAACTAATTATTTTGGTCCAGTTCAGTCTAGTGTACAAAAAGTTTTTAGAAAAATTCCAGAAATTTTCTGGAAAATACTGAAATCTGCAGTATAAAAATGTTTGAAACCATTCAAGATTTAAAAAATTTTACCAGATTTTTCAAAAATCTTTCAGAAAATCTGGCAAAATTTGAATAGATTTTGTGTACTAAATGCTAGTTCAATCTAATTCTATAATAAAAAAATATTGCAAAAACGTTTTTTAATTAAAATTACTTTTAAAAAATATTTTTATAATAATATATTAAAAAATGTTTTATACCATTTTTCATTAAATTAATTAAAAAAATATTGCATAAACATTTTTTAATTAAAATTACTTTAAAAAAACGTTTCACACTATTTTTTTGTTAAATTAATTATAAAAATGTTGTAAAAACATTTTTTCATTAAATTAATATTGAAATATTGCGTAAAATATTTTTTATAATAATATATTAAAAAAATGTTTTATAATATTTTTTTATTTAATAATTAAATAATTGCAACAGTTTTAATATAAAACTATTGCAAAAATATTTACTCAATCTGATTCAGTCCCAACCTGTTTAATTTAGTCCAATTAGATTTATAATCTGAAACTAGACCAAATATTTTAATCTGAGTTAAAATATCAACCTGAACTGAACTAATCCAAATTTTCAGTTCAGGTTGTTAGATTAAAATAGGACACTACTTACTTATAATAAAGGTTACTATAGAAAATTGACCTTTTACTAATAGTTTTTACCTTACTTTTTTCTTAAATTCTATTGATTAATTTGATTAATTAGCTAAAAAGAAAAAAAATCACAACAATATAACATAAAATTTCCTTTTATAGTAGGATTTTCAAAGAATTTTATATATAATTTTTATCTTAGGCCTGGAAGTGACCCATCCTATAAGTAAGCGGAATCCTATTAGAATTGAACTGATTAAAGCTTTATTTTTAATTAATTAACCAATAGAATTTAAGAAAAAAGTAAGATAAAAATTATTAATAAAGGATCAATTTTCTATTATTATAAGTAAGTAGAATCCTGCCTTTACTTCTAGCACAAAATGTATTTAAAGGCTATAAACAAATTAAATTAGTATCAAGTAGATATACAGGCTATCTTATAAAATTTAAGTAAATCAATTATTTTATAACTAATTTTATTTTTTTAATATAAATGTAAAATTATAAAGATAATTAACATCCCATATATCTAGTTCTTTAAATTTATCTACAAACTAATGTTTATTTTTATTTTATTTTATTTTATTTTTTATTTATTTATAGATGTGATCTTGTCTTAATATAATTACGCTTGCTTATGTATACTAAACTTATAACAATAAAAAAAATAAAATATATATAAGGATTAAGCATTATGAAATAAGACTACTTCTCCAAAGAAAAGTCGACTTGTTACCTAAATGATTATATCACTATTATTAACAATAATACAACTAAAATTTTTAGGTGACTGTCAAGATCTGCCTAAAAATTTGCCCAATGACCACCCCAATGAAATGCAAAATCATTCCATTTGTTCCAATTAGTCTTATTATTAATGAAGTTTGCTAATTCTACATTATCCTTCTTATTACGTTTTTTACTATTTGATTTCATTCTTTTATCTTTACTATTGATATTCCGTTTTTTTTCCTTTTCTATTTGTTTCTCATTTCTACACTCCCAAAGCAATAAGGAAAATTTGACAGTTTGTGAAAAAATATGAGAGCAATGATAAAATTATGTAGGGAGATGATAGTTAAGATAATATTAAATATATTGTTTCATAATTTTTAGCAGTTGTAATTTCTTTAATAAAAAAATAATTTCGCATATGCATATGCCACAGTAGCTAAAATTATATGATTTAGGCCAAAATGACATGTAAAAATCACGTGAAAATAGCTTAAGGGAATTTGGCCTCTGTTTAGGATTAGATGAGACTAGAGTACTCGAGCTGTACTTTACATATAAATACTATTGAGATTAAGAGGGAATAAGTTTAAAGAAGGAACTTAAACATGACAGGCAATAACACGGTTGCTACGTTTGCTATGTCCTTCCAATCAATACCCCTGCTGCGATTGTCTGTTAGCGTTCGTATTTGTTCTAATAATTCTTGATTATCTCTACTACTTGCTTCAATTTTTTTAAGGAGTTTCCTTTGATAAATTTCATTTTGATTAGCTTTCATTTTTTCAAGATCTAATTGCCTTTTTAATTCCTCATGCTTTCTATTATGTTCCTCTATAAGCGACCTTTGTATTTGTTCGAATTTTCTTTCTTGTTGTTTAATTAATTCCATTTTCTCTTTTTCATTTAATCTTCGTTGTTCAAGCATAGAATCGCGCATTTGTTCATATTTTTGATTATATCTCTTAGTTGCATACTCTCTTTCCTTAATTAAACGATGTTGCATTTCTTCTTGTGATTTTTTTTGTTGCTCGATATTTCTTTGTAATTCTAAAATTTTATTCCCAAAATTTTTCCCACTTTCTTCACGTTCACGTTTCTGTGCTTCAATTTTCCTACAGAGTTCTCCTTCACGTGCCAATGCTTCTATTCGCAATCTTTCAGCTTCTTCTTTAGCATGTACTGCTTTCGCTAATTCTGCGTTCATTCTTCCTAGTTGTGTCATGTAATCAATTGCTTCCGAATATTGATTTTTCATATATGAAGCAATTACTCTAGCCGCCTCTGGAGATTTCATCGACGATTTTTCGTAAGCTAATTCAAAGGATTTTAATGCTTTTTGGAATTCGGCATAATTCTGTGGGAAATTAAATTCTATTAAAATTTCAAACTATAAAAAGGAAGAAAAGAAAATTGATAGTCATACCTCAAACAAATTTTCTAGAGTTAATCCAATCTTAACAAACTTTTCCCAATATTTTTTTGCGATATTTTCATTGTAAATCATTAATTCTTTAGAATTTTTTTTCGTAAAATTTTCTTTAATTTTGGATAGCTTTCCACTTAATTGATCAATAAATTTTTCAATTTGAATAGGACTTCCAATTATTTTTCCAGAAAATAATTTCCTGGTTTCCGAAGCACATTCTTCACTTTTTTCTTCAAATTCTTCCCAAATCATTGGTAATTTTTCTTCACTTATCAATTGACTCATTCTTTTTTTATAGATTTCTAAAGCTTCATTTGTAGCTTCACGTGAGACATATTGTATAATCGATTCATATTCAGAAGGAATTGAAAGTAATGTTGATGTTTCTGAACTGTTCATACGTTCAACGGTGTCTTGTAGGAATTTTACAAATGCCATTCCTTTCATAGTGGAGGAACCAATGTATTTAAGAGGAAGTTGAGAGTAAATTGATTTTACGGCATTCTCTACTTCTTCAACAAATTCTTCATCAAGGTTGTCAGTAATGGCATTTTCCATATGTTGTACCATTGTTTTTTTGCATCCTGGATGCTATATAAAGTAAATGTGTTAAATATGATGTAATTTCTATTATTTAAAAATTTTCAATAACTTACCGGCAACCTAAAATTAATCGTAAAAAAGAAAAAATAAAAACAATTATATAGTAATATGGAAATTAACAAATAACAATGATATAACTAAATTATATTTACCCGAAAACATCAAAGCCATAAAAGAATTTCTTAATTCCCTTAGCAGCTACAAAAATTTTTTATTAAAATCGATCAGCTTGTAACATTATCAACAAATTTCTTTATTTGTAGCTCACCTTTGGGATCGACGTTATTTAATTTTTCCAAAAAATATTCTTTTAAGCTCTCGGGACTTTCTAAAGTAAAATCACGTAATAAAATAACTAATCTCGGTAAAAAATCTCCAACTTCTGGTTCTTGAATGAATTTACTTAAATCTGTCATTAAATACAATTTTCCTATGTCATCTTTACCAACAATTCCATTTATATTATAAATAAACGTTGAAGAAACAACTAAACATAAAATAAATAATTTCGTTGCCCAATTTTCATCCTGTTTTGGATCATCAATTCCTTCACTATCCAGGACAATAACTCGTTTCTGAATTATTTCACCATCTGATTGTTTACTCTCTAATTTGAATGGGGGAGACCACATGTATATTCCACGTGTACATCCTTCTACTTTTGCTCCTAGTTCAAAACCGTCATGGCGTCCATGCAATACATTCGCGAACCAAGATTTGCCGCGGCGAAAAGAACCAACTGGCGAAGAAATAAATGTGAATTCACGTGATGGAGTTCGAGAATTATTTATTTGTGCTTACCGACAGAAATGATAGCAAGAGGCTCATTAATAGTTCGAAGAACGTTTAATGCTTCTTGGTTAAGAACAATTTGACCAAAATTTCCATTTCTGGATCTTTCGTTATATTTTAATAGCTGAATTGGAACACCTTCCCGAAATTCAATACTTCCGCCAAAATTATTGCCATTTTCAATTTCTACATTGCTAAGTGAGTAATCATTGCCAAGCGTTGAAAATTGAGTCATGATTTAAAAGCTTAAAATTTATTGTTAAAATTTTAATTTGGATTGTTTATAAAAGAATTATAATGATGCTTATTTATATCCAAAAATTTCGGGGAAAAAATTCCGACGCCATTCCGCATAAATCAATAAATCAAGCTAATTAGAATAAGATCGGCAAAAAACATGAGATGTGCGATTGCGTCAGCTGACAGCTAACGTGAATCAGATTATGGCTGGCCTAGTAATTCTGGCAAAACCACTTAAGGCATTGTAATATTGGGCCATAGGCATCATCTATATATCATATATAGATATCAACCTGTATGATGTACTTGCATTTACATATTAACAGCATTTCCGGTGAAACATACTGTATGCCACCTACGATAATCAGTTTTCTTATTATTGAATCTTGATCATAAAACAATAAAAGCCACTTTTCCATTTACCATATAACTGATAATCATCAAATAATCAAATCCCCCCTATTTTTACTTTAGTTTCTAATTCCCTTTGTTCGTTCACTGCTATGGCGATTAGTTTTCCATTAGTCAGTTCGTTCTAACGAAGGGTGGGTCCGCCGGTTTGATTTTGTACATTTTGTTTTAGATCAATAGTGCATATGTTGTTTTTGTAAAACTTTCATTGTATCTTCGTATCTCACATTTGTATCTGCCTTTCAAAAGTAAAAATAAATAAAAATAAATAAAAATATTTAAAATCAAAAAAAAAAAAATGAACAATGTTAAATAAAAAGTATTTATTTAATTAATATATAAATTTCTTTTATGAAATCACGCAATCTCCTATTGCATCCCTCAAAATATCTTTTTCTCTCTGCATAAATTCTAACATTTTAGCAAGTTGTTTCTGGAAAATTTATTTTGTTTTTCAATGGCTTTCTCTTCTTCTTCTCTTTTAATTCTTCTTCAGTTTCTCTTTATATTTGCTCAAATTTGGCATGTTTGTTGCCTTCTTCAGCCAATCTTTGTTGTTTAAGCATTTCGTCGTGCAATTGTTCACGCCTCTGATTATATTTTTCAGCCGCAAGTTCTTTCCTCAATTAAACGCTGTTTCCTTTCTTCATGTAATTTATGTTGTTCAATATTTGCTTGTATTTCTGCCATTTTCTTTCTGAAATTTCTTTCATTTCTTCGTTTTCATGTTTTCGTGCTTCTATTTCCATATGTAATTCTTTTCCACGAGTCAATGCTTCTAAATGCAACCTTCCAGCTTCTTCTTTGATGTGTAATATTTTTGTTAATTTGTATTCATCTTTCCTAATCGTGTCATGTAATCAATTGCTTCCGAATATTATTTTTCATATATGAAGCAATTACTCTAGCTGCCTTTGGAGATTTCATCATCGATTTTCGTAAGCTAATTCAAAGGATTTTAATGCTTTTTGAAATTCGGCATAATTCTGTGGGAAATTAAATTCTATCAAAATTCTAATAAAAAAAAGGAAGAAAATTGAGAAAATTTGGTTATGCCTTCCGATCTTGACAAACTTTGTCCAATATTCTTTGGCAATATTTCATTGTAAATCATTAATTCTTTAAAATTTCTTTTCGTAAAATTTTCTTTAATTTTGGATAATTCTTCATTTAATTGTTCAACAAAAATTTTAAATTTGTGGAGGATTTCCAATTATTTTTCTAATAACCTCTGAAGCACGTTCATCATTTATTTTTTTAAATTCTTCTCATATCGTAGTAATTTTTCTTCAATTGACTCATTCTTTTTTTATAAATTTCTAAAACTTCATTCGTGAAACATATTGGATAATCGATCCATATTCAGAAGGATTGAAAGGAAGTGTGGATGTTTTTGAACTGTTCATACGTTCAACGATAACTTGTAGGAATTCAATGTATTTAAGAGGAAGTTGAGAGTAAATTGATTTTACGGCATTCTCTACCTCGTCAATCTTCGTCAAACTTGTCAATAATGGCACCTTCCATATGTTGTAATATTGTTTTATTACATCCGCTATATATAAAAATAAATGCGTTAAAATGTGATGCAATATTTTGTTTAAAATTTTCAATAACTTACGACAAACTAAAAATATCCATAAAAAAAAAGTAATCATATAATAAAAATAAAAAATTAATAAATTAATAAATACTGTAATGATATAATTAAATTATATTTACCCAAAAACATACAGTAATTCATAAAAAAATTTCTTAATTCCCTTAGCAGCTACAAAAAATTTTTATTATTAAATTGACCAGTTTATAACATTATCAACAAATTTCTTTATTTGTAGCTCACTTCGGGAATGACGTTATTTAATTTTTCCAAAAATAATCTTTAAAGCTCTTAGGAATTACTAAAGTAAAATCACGTAATAAAATAACTAATCTCGGTAAAAAATCTCCAACTTCTGGTTCTTGAACGAATTTACTTAATTCTGTCATTAAATACAATTTTCCTATGTCATCTTTACCAACAATTCCATTTATATTATAAATAAATGTTGAAGAAACAACTAAACATAAAATAAATAATTTCATTTGCCCAATTTTCATCCTGTTTTAGTTCATCAAATCCTTCACTATCCAGGACAATAACTCGTTTCTGAATTATTTTATCATCGGATTGTTTACTCTGAATGGGGAGACCACACGCATATTCTACATGTATGCTTACCGACAGAAATGATAGCAAGAGGCTCATGAATGGTTCGAAAAACGTTTAATGCTTCTGGATTAAGAACAATTTGACCAAAATTTTCATTTCTGGATCTTTCGTTATGTTTCAATAGTTGAATTGAAGCACCTTCGCGAAACTCAATACTTCTGCCAAAACTATTGCCATTTTCAATGGTTCCTGTCTTGTGAGAGTTTCCGTATCATATTGATGATATGAACGATAAAAAAATTAATTACTTCCTATATTACTGGACGAATCTTTTCTACGTGTTGAAAGTTGAGTCATGATCTAAATTTTAATTGGATTGTTTATAAAAAAAGAATTATAATGGTGCTATTTATATTCAAAATTTCGGGAAAAGATTCCGACGATGTAAGTGAGTGTGATCTCGATAAGCTCAATTAGTCAATAACAAACGCAAACCTAGTAACTACCTGAAGTTTTGTGAGTCATTCCTCGCACTGATAAAGGTCTTTCGTTGGTGTGGGTACGTTGATATTGTATAAGATACTTTTTACTTTAAAAGTTTTTATTCTGGTATTGCATCAAACGCAGAGTTTATGGCGCGATTAATTAACCTTAGATTGTATAATTCATATTTTCCGGTTTTTAAGACGCATCAATTAGCTTTAGTTATATACAAAGCCAAATAAATTTTCTTTGTAGCTTAATTTGTTGAATTTAATTATTCTGGTATTATTTATCAAAAGCGGAGTTTACGACGTGATTAATAAACCTTAGATTATATAATTGGTATTTTTCGAACAATTCACTATTATTTGCATAAACACATAAATTATATAAAATTCCTACATTTAACTTTACTAATATCATAAAGACTAAACTTATTCATATGTCAAATAGAATGATTATTACTTTCTTATTGATAACGCGACGGGTTACGCCTAGTTTGATTAATAAAATAATTTCTGTAAGTTTAAAATAAATTGAAATGTAAGTAAAAACCTTTATCAGTTTATTTCATTTAAAAATATTTGATAGAAGTAATTTTATGAATTTTTCCTTTTTTTTTAATAAATATATAGAAATATATGAAGGTTAGATTATAAGATAATTTGATTAAGCCTCATTAGATAAAAAAGAAAAAAAATGCGAGAATAAAGCGATTTAAAGGAAAGTTGGGAAATCGACCTACCATATAATACATTAAAGTTCCGGGATCGCGCGGTCCTCAGTTATGAACTCTGATGTATATATTTGATATTTTTAATTACTTTTTATTTGTACTTAAAAAACCAAAATTTTGTTTACAACTGTGATAATGATGATGATTGTTTTAATTGTATTTCGAGTTTTTAATATGCTTTTAAGTTTATTTTTAAATAGCATTAGCAATAAGAAATATAATATTGAACATTTAATAATATCGAATAATATAAATTATTCGAAATATATCATCTTTGATTATAAAGATAATGATTTATTTCATAAAAATTATTATTTAGAATATTATGCCAAAAAACAAAAAACTCAAGATCAAAAAAAAGAAAAAAAAACAAACTAATAATAAGTCACTTTGATTAGGCCTAACACCAATACATTAAGTTAAAAAGATTAATGTATTTGAAAGTAGTATAAATAATATGTATTAAAATTACAAAAAGCCTACCTAAACAGCATATGTTTCTGCCTCTGTGACACATTAGAGGATAAGGCAATCAGAATGTTTACTACAATACTTCGCAGACACAACAGTAATAAGAGAGGGAAGAACAATAAAACGAACTTTCATTTTGATTTTCACGTGATCATTCGGTATATCAAATATGTGGCTAATATATATTTGATCGAGTTCGGATGCGGGCATTTAAAGAATTTGCATAATGCAAAGCGATCACGTGTTAGTGCATATAGAATAAGTTCGACATTTATTTATACATGAGCACGTGATAAAGTGTATGCAAATTGTTTAAATACCGGATGCGGTATATACTGTTAATATAGTGCTTCCCGAAGGGCGAGGTCCTGGGCAAGTGGCAACGGGATGATATTCTAGTTCTTTTTATCAGATAGTTCCCTTTGTTAATTCATATAGCTATAATTGTATTAGTATATTAGAATAAAATAAAAATAAATATAGCATTTGGTTATATCCGGTGTAATTAATTATAAGAAAATCGGTTCTGCAACTATTTGGTTCGATATAACGAGTTTTCGGTATATCCAGATTCGTTGTATCCTGTGAAATTAATAATACGTATTAAATTTAAATTCCTTATTTTTTTTTTAAAAAAAAAAAGAAAAAAATTATAATTTCTACGAAATGAAATTAAAACATCTCTTAATTTTTTTATCAATAATAAGAAACTACAGAATTTCAAGTGGCAGACATTTTGCAATATGCAGATAATACGATAGTTTTGCAAATAGTTCGCAATTTAAGTGGTGGAAATTGTTCTGAAACAAAAATATCATTTCGCGTCATTTATCCCAATGGTAATATTATACCAATCGATCTTTCGATGGAAGAATTGGAGATACAATCTTTCAATTTTTGTACTGTCGATGGACTTAACCCTATTTCTCTTAATGCCATAGAAACAAAAAAAGGCAATTTTATAATAGTAACTTATACTGTAGCTGCGGACGTAAATAATCCTCTAACGTATAATGATTATTTAATGTTGATTGATTTAAATGGAAATATTTACAGGTTAGAATGAATTCTTTTTTTTAAAACCTTTTCGGAGAATATATATACTTTTTTGTAATATACTGTATGTACTTTTCTTTTATGGCAATAGTAAAACTTTAATGAGTCCTTCTCTTATTGACTCAAGTAATAATAATAATACATGGATACCTCAACAATCTTTTATTTATCCAAATGCAAATAATAAGCAAGGATTTCTCTACTTTGCACCATTATCGAGTGGTTATGATGATGTCAATTTTAATTATAACTTGACGCAATGGATAATGTAATTTATCATATTGATAAAATTTGATTTTTAATTTTTAATTTAATGTATGGTTTAACTTATATTCCTTTCCTCTTTTTATGAAGAAATGAAGACGGAAGTTTTAGCAATATTGCAGCAACGGTTTTAACTCTTCAAGTACAACCTTCGGTAGTTTCAACAGTGGATGGAGGTTACATGTTTATTTATCCTAATGTAACAACCTCCCAGGATCCTTATTCTTCACAGACAGGGCTTTACGCCATGTATTGTGGATATGGAAGTAATATTGTGCGAGAAACAGTTATTCTTTATGAAAATATGATGTATTTAAATATTGTTGGCCTTAATTGTTTTATCTCTTACTCGGAAGTTGGACAAATTTGTTTGATATCCATACAATCTACCACCGATCCAAATCCAATCATTGTTAATATTCAAGTTAGTTATCTTTCAAGAGGAACCGTATTTGATATCAAACATGTAAATGTCACACTTCCCACAATTATTAATGATCCTAATTTTACGCCATTACCATTCGGAGGTTATTTATATAGTGTTATTCAAACAACCAATATGAGTAGTTATATTTGGGGCTATGTTTTGGATGAAAATGGCAATTTAAATCAATGGGACCTTTCATATCCTACCCTGTCAGATTCTAATTTTCCCCACCAAATTTTAACAAATAACACTCTTGTAATACTTCAACCAATAGTAGGACAAAATTGGAGTTTAATCACCACTGATTTGTATAAAATTCATGAAGGTAATGTGATAGCGAAGATTTTTTTTTTTTTTTTTTAATTCTTACAAATACTCTAGATAATGGTTATGGTAATATGTTCATCAGAGATACATCTCCGACCATTCAACAAACTATCACCGCACGTGAAACTAATCCCCTTAAAATTACATATACGATTCCTATTGTTTTTTCAATCGGCACAATTACAATTTTTCAAAGTAATGGCAGTTCTAATCCTGGGATTGTACGTCAAACCATTAATGGCTTAAATAACCAAAATTATGTAACATTTGATAATGATACCGTTAGTATTGATATAATTGAAAGTACATTTAATAATCCTGATTCAACGTATTATGTTATGATTGAGAATAATTTTGTTTCGACTCTATCATACAATGAACCTCTCCCTGGTTTATATAGTAATATTTGGTCTTTTACAACGTGTAAGTGATTTATAATTATGCTCATAAAATTGAATTATATTATATATATATTAATTATTTTTCAAATAGTACCAGAAGAAGAAAAAGAAAAAGGAAGTAGTAAAATTAAAATGTTTTTTGATGGCATTTATGGAAAAGTTAGATTGACCAAAGACGGAACTTCTTACTTTGACACTCTCAACTCCAATCAAATAAATAAATTCTTTAATAATTTAACACAAGAATTGGCCGATGCAGTCGCTGTTACATCAAAACGAATAATCACCAATTATAGATTTGTAATTGACACTAACATTGAAAGTTCTTCAAAACAATATCTTTTATCCATTAAGATTGATAAACCACAATCTGCATCAGATAGGGAGACTAAATTAATCACTAAAGATTTAGATATTATGATTCGGAATATGGACATCACTGTTCTTGCATCTGGAAGTTCTTCGAAATATTTGGAACCAATCTATGGATATGTAACTATACGTAAATATTCGTTTTTCAATTTTTTCAGAAAAATTTAACCAAATTAATTAATTTTTCTTTCTTTCTTTTTTTTAATAAAATAGCCAGGTGGTATGAGAATTCTGACAATATATGCCAACTTATTTTAACAGTTATATTCATTTTGATATTGACCATACTTTGCATCATTTCTATACATTATGATGCAAAAATTGAAGTAAAAGTGATGCAAATAGTAGTGTTAGGAAAGCTTTTTTTCACATAATGAAATCGGGTATATGTAAATTAATCCAACCTTTAAATTTATGTAAGAGGAGGGAGGTTAATGAGAGGAGGGATGTTGATGAGGATAAGGTAAAGTACACATTCTATATTTAATTGAAAATCAAATGCTAACATAATGTTTATTTATTTAGAGCAACCACTTTAAAATTTTTTTATATGGATTTAATGTTTTGTCATTTGTGTTGGACATTTTTTTTGTTAAGGTAGAGGCAGGCAGCATCAAAATTATTTTTTTTGCGAGGTAAATATCAACTTCTGAACTAAAAAAATTTTTTTTAAAAAAAGACTAAAATAATAAAATTTTCTTTTTTAAGTGTTTTTTTGGTGACAGTTCCATATGTTATCAAGTTAGGATATGCAGTTTACATTATCCTTAACGAACTTGTAAGCAAAGAAAATTCAGAAGATTCAGTTCAACTTCTTGATGAACCCGGAGAAAAAGATGATCCAGAAGATTTAAATGATCAACAAGATGGTTCACAAGGTCAACAAGATAAAGCAAAAGAAAAAGTTACGATCAAGAAATGGTTAGAAGATTCAAAAGATCATAAAATAGTTCTCGTAATGTTGATATCACTAGCAGGAACTGATGTCGGAGTTCTAGAAATATTTAAATTTAATTTCCAATTTTGTAGATATAAATTTAACGTTAAGTTATCTAAAAAATTTGAACGAAAGATTATTATTGGAGAAACTATTGGTATTATTATTAAAAATATGCCTGACCTAGCTTTTAGGGTATGTAATTTTTTTTGCGTCACCTTATTTTTTTTAAATCAAATATTAATCAAGTTGATTTAATTTTTTTTTTAAAAAAAACTATTAGGTTTACTTTTTGAGCAAAGCGATTGATTTTAGTTATTTATCCATTCTTACTCCTTTAGTATCTCTTATAAAAATCCTAAGTCTTTTTACAAACTTCACAAAATTAATGAAAACTAGGAACTATGGCTCTTAAATTTGTCATTTTCCTTATTTTCTTACACATATCACGTAATTATTTCATATTCTGAATACTTTAAAAAATGTTCGTTTAAAGATTGGGTTTGTATATGTTTCACCATCATAAAGGAATCAGAGTGAATTTAATAAATTTCCTTGTCTTTCACAATAGGCATCCATTAATTTTTTCAGTTGTATTATACGCTTGATTTTGATTAGTAAAATTTTATCAAACGCACATTAGCTCTTGTCACAATCTATATTCTTTCATACTATTATTTAAAAGTGTCTTAAAATAATCTGATCTTTCTGATGAGCTGCATCTTTGCACATAAAATGTTTCCTTTAATAAGTAATTCGTTCTTTGTTCTATCTTCAACGTATTTAATAACTGAGCTTTTTATTTTACACATCGTTTATTTCTGGGTGATTAATAATCTTTTTACAGTAGTGGTCAAAAGGATCCGACCCTCATCATTAAAAAAGTTTTTAATAAACAAAAAAAAAAATTTTTTTTTATTTTAAAGTACAAGGTGAACCATGATCATTAATACATAGTATAATCCCCCGCCTCTATTAATGCTGCAACCCGCTTCTCCATACTACCAACAGATTTTTAGCTAATTCGATTGATAATTGGTTCCACTCTTTTGTTAATTCTACATCAAATTCATAAAAAATTTCTTAATTCCCTTATCAGCTACAAAAAATTTTTTATTGTTAAAATTGATCAGTTTATAACATTATCAACAAATTTCTTTATTTGTAGCTCACTTCGGGATTGACGTTATTTAATTTTTCCAAAAATAATCTTTAAAGCTCTCAGGAATTACTAAAGTAAAATCACGTAATAAAATAACTAATCTCGGTAAAAAATCTCCAACTTCTGATTCTTGAACGAATTTACTTAATTCTGTCGTTAGGTACAATTTCCCTATATCACCCCTCCCAACAATTCCATTTATATAGAAACAACTAAACATAAAATAAATAATTTCGTTTGCTCAATTTTCATCCTGTTCATCAAATCCTTCTATCCAGGACAATAACTCGTTTCTGAATTATTTTATCATCGGATTGTTTACTCTCTAATTCGAATGGGGAGACCACACGTATATTCCACGTGTATGCTTACCGACAGAAATGATAGCAAGAGGCTCATGAATGGTTCAAAGGACGTTTAATGCTTCTGGATTAAGAACAATTTGACCAAAATTTTCATTTCTGGTTCTTTCGTTATGTTGCCAAAACTATTGCCATTTTCAATAGTTCCTGTCTTGTGAGAGTTTCCGTATCATATTGATGATATGAACGATAAAAATTTTATTACTTCCTAAGTGTTGAAAGTTGAGTCATGATCTAAATTTTTAATTGGATTGTTATAAAAAAAATTATAATGGTGCTATTTATATTCAAAAATTTCGGGAAAAGATTCCGACGCTATTCCGCATAAATGCATAAATCACAAAAAAATATATACAGTGTAGACAAATATACCGACTTGTACATCAGATAACAACATGTATACTGTATGATTTATCGCCATTTTACTTTGTTATAATATAATTTTTTATTGTTATTTTAAATTTAATTAACATACTGCTGTAATGCTGTTGCCACTTAAGATAATAGATTTTATTATTATTGGTTTCTCCTGAACTTATTTCCGCCAAGAGATAAATAATCTGATCACGTGACACAAATCAAAGTATATAAATGACGAAAGTAATAATTTAATAATTTATTTTAGACATAAAATAAAATGAACAATGTTAAATAAACAAGTATTTATTTAATTAATTATATAAAATTTCTTTTATCGAAATTATTATGAAATTAGGCAACCACCCTTCTTGTCTTTCTGCATAAGTTCCACCATCGCACTGTGCTGTCTTTCATTTGCTGCAATTTGTTCAGCAAGTTGACTCTTGTAAAATTCATTTTGACTTTCAATGGCTTTCTCCTTCTCTTCAAGTAATTGTGCTCTCAATTCCCTATTTCTCTCTTCAGCTTCTCTTTGTATTTGCTCAAATTTGAACTCTTGTTGTTCAAGCAATCTTATTTTTTCTTCTTCACTTAATTTTTGTTGTTCAAGCATTTCGTTGTGCAATTGTTCAAATTTCTGATTATATTTTTCAGTCGCAATTTCTCTTTCTTTAATTAAACGTTCTTTCATCTCTTCATGCGATTTATTTTGTTGTTCGATATTTGCTTGTAGTTCTGCCATTTTCTCTTTGAAATTTCTTTCATTTTCTGCACGCTCATATTTTTGTGCTTCCATTTCCCTACGGAATTCTTCTTCGCGGGCCAATGCCTCTAACCGTAATGTTTCAGCCTCTTCTTTGGCTTTCATTGCTTTTGCTAACTCTGCATTCATTCTTCCTAATTGCGTCATATATTCAATTGCAGTAGGGTATTGATTCTGCATGTATGAAGCAATTACTTTAGCAGCTTCGGGAGACTTCATAAATGATTTCTCGTAAGCTAATTCGAAGGCTCTGAGTGCTTCCTGGAATTCATCATTGCTCTATTTAAAATGAAAATTATTAAATTCTGTTAATATATGCTAAATTAAAAAAAAAATTAAAAAAAGATATCATACCTCAAATAAGTTTTCTTGGGTTAACCCAATCTTTACGAATCTTTCCCAATAATCCTTCGCAATATTTTCATTATAAGCCGTTAATTCATCAGAATTTATTTTCGTGAACTCTTCTTTAAATTTGGATATTTTTTCGCTTAGTTGTTCCTTAAAATTTTCCATTTGAGTGGGACTTCCAATTATTTTTTCAAAAAATATTTTATTGGCCTCTGAAATGCAATTATTATGTATTTCTGTGAATTCATCCCATAAAATTGGTAATTTTCCTTCTTCATTTAACACACGGTCCATTTGTTCTTGATATAATACTACAGCATCTTTAATTGCTTCTTGCGCGACAAATTGTATAATTGATTCATACTCAGAAGGAATTGAAAGAAATGCTGAATTTTCTGATTTGTTCATACGTTCAACGAGATCATTTATGAATTTCACAAAAGCTGTGCCTTTCATGGTGGAGGAACCAATGTATTTAAGAGGAAGTTGAGAGTAAATTAATTTTACAGCATTTTCTACTTCGTCAACAAATTCTTCATCAAGGTCATCGGTAGCAGCATCTTCCATATGCTGTAACATTTTTCTTTTACATCCCGGATGCTATGTGAAAGTAAAGTATACAAATGTTAGATATAATAAGTAGATTGATAATTTAAATGTTTTAATAACCTACAGGCAACCTAAAAATTTATGAAAAGATAGATCATAATAAATAAATAAAAACATCAATTTATAATAACTAAATAAAATTACATTCATATTTACCCGTATACGTCAAAATCAACAAAGATTTTTTTAATTCCTTTAGCAGCTACAAAAATTTTTTGTTAAAATTGATCAGTCTATAACATTATCAACAAATTCTTTATTTATTAGCTCACCTTCGGGATTGACGTTATTTAATTTTTCCAAAAAATAATCTTTAAAGCTCTCAGGACTTTCTAATGTAAAATCACGCAATAAAACAACTAATCTCGGTAAAAAGTCGCCTTCTTCTGGTTCTTGAATGAATTTGCTAAGATCAGTCATTAAGTACAATTTCCCGATATCATCTCTACCAACAATCCCATTTATATTATAAATAAAAGTAGATGAAAGGGCTAAACATAAAATAAATAGTTTCGTCGCCCAATTTTGGTCCTGTTTTGGATCATCAATTCCTTCACTATCCAGGACAATAACTCTTTTCTTAATTACTTTGCCATCAGATTGCTTGCTTTCTAACAAAAATGGTGGAGACCACATGTATATTCCACGTGTACATCCTTCTACTTTTGCTCCCAGATCAAAACCGTCATGTCGTCCATGTAATACATTCGCGAACCAAGATTTACCACGGCGATATGAACCGACTATTGAAAAATAAATGGTGTCATGTGAATATCAAGCGATGGAGTCTTAATTAATAATATATTTATTGTCTTCTTATATATTGTTTACCAACTGAAATAATCGCAAGAGGTTCACGGATGGTTTGAAGAATCTTCAGCGCTTCTGGGTTAGTAACGATTTTACCGAATTCTTCTCCCGAATTATCTTCGATATATTGTAATAGCTGAATTGGTTCACCTTCACGAAATTCTATTTCTCTACCAAACCTATTACCTGTAATCATAATTTTAACTAACTAAAATATATAATATAGTTTATTTATCAAATTTTTAAATTGTTACAAAAAAAGAAATTTTTTTCTTTTTTTTTTTTAAAAAAAAAAAAAATTCTGAACATTTATAAGGAATTGCTTCCAAAATTGATGAAGAGATAACAACATAAATAGCTAAAGCCTGCCTGATTGTAACTAGCTTTTTTTGTGCCTACTTACGCCAAACAAAAGCAATGCAATTCTAATACAATATTTTGCATTTTCATGCATTATCACATTGTCTTACAAATTTTTTTTTTTACATTTTACAGGATTCTCAAACTCTTTTTTTTTTTCTTTCTTCTCCTTCCTTTTTTCTTTTTAATTTAATTAATTTTACGGAGTTTACGAGATTAAATAGACGACCATTTACAATCATTTTCGGACATGTTTAGTTGTACAATTGCTTTTGTTTCCGTATTTGGAATTTATTTCATTCATGTTTTTATGTTTTTTAACGCATAATGGATATATTGTCTTTGATTATGCGACAATAATAATCATATTTGATTATCAAAGTTTATCTCTACCAATAAATTTGGGGCTGTCACATTCATTAGCCGGTATTATAACTTGTTTTCTATTGCCGATCAATGCCGAAAAGAGGATTTATCATTTAATCAGCCACAGAATTGCAGCTTTTTCCCAAAGATGTTTGTTAATGAAGAGGAGAAAAATAAACCTAATTTACAAGACCTTCAAAATAATAATTATATTAACCAAAGATATGGAATTTCATCTTCGCCTACATCCGCAGAACCACATTCTTTTCTAAGTGAAAATGAAAAAGAATTTCATACAAAAAATTCCGAACAAATTAATCAAAATATTTCTCACGATACCCAAAATAAAATCAAACGAAAGGCTAAAACTATTTCATTTCCTATTAAGGGAGAGAAAGCCAAATTTAACTTTGAAAGTCCAGGTTAAAAGATTTATAATATATAATTCAATATATGATTCTTATTATGAACTTCGTTTCTTAAAGGAAATTTGTTTTTTAGAACTAACACATCGGCTTCGAGCTGTAAATACCTCGGATAAAGAAAAAAGCGATGAAAAGCACGAATCTAAAGAAAAGGTCAATGAGGAGATGGACTTTTATACGAAAAAAATCCATTGGACTTGGATTTTATTAGCATTAATCGTTTGTGCTGTTTTAATTTATATGAAATTTCGCTTAGTAAGTAAATCTTTTTTATAGCTTTACTAATATATTTTTGGTTTAGTGAATATATTTTTCAAATTCCTTTCACTAAAGTTATAATTTCATAATTAGAAAGAAATTTATGTTGATGATAAGAAATTTGTTGTTAAGGTTGGTTTATAAAAATAGGCATTAATCAATTTTTTTGTTGAATTAAAAGAAACGCATTCTAGTATATCCTCAATACAGTTCCAACCTTTCGAAGACTTTGCGAGCTCGACAACAAAATTAGTCGAAGATATTGTTCAAGTAGATTTACCATGTAAATATTTTTAATTTTCTATAATAATTTAAGAGTCATATTAATTTTACAATGATATTCCCGTTCTTTTAATTTTTATTTTAGCATCGGGTTCTGTAATGGATGGGACAGTGTCATGTCGTAGATTTGCAAATATAGTTGAAGATAGCCCAGCATTCAAAGAAACGGGTTCATCCATTGCAAACCTACTACGAGCGTTTTCCGCCAAAATAATGGATGCAGGAGTTGCATTGGAAGACATGTATCGTAATGGCAACATGTTATTTTGGATACTTAACAGCGAAATTTCCGAGATGATGTCAAAGTTTAATTCATATAATAGATGGTTCGGAAATGAAGATGAAACATTTTTTAGAAGTCGTGTACATAGGTTGGTTAAAAGTATCGAGGAATTTAGTGTAAAGGTCACCCATGCAAGAAAAGCTATTGTTGATGCTGAATCTTACAGAGGCCCCGCTGAAAGAAAAGTACGACAAGGTATTGCCGAGGCTACTAAATTTGTTCATCATGATCCTGATAAAGCACAAGAGTATATTCTTAAGTTCAGGGGGGAAGGGTATATTCTGGAAAAAATTGGTAGTAAAGCTAATGATGTGCTGAATGTAATGGACGAATTGAAACATGCAGAAAACATGTTAAATATTTTAGAAAAAAGTCATGAAGCCCTGGATTTAATTAATAAGATTTTATCAGTTTATAAGAATAAACTGTTTTATTTTGAATCTCAATTGGGTAAAATAAAGAAAAGCAAGGTAACAAAAAAAGACTTGGACAAATTAGAGAAATTAGTTAATATTTTGAAATCTAGTCAACAAAAATTCATCGACAAAGAAACTTTAGAGGATAAAGAAGAAGCAAGGATCTATGTGTAATTAGTTACCCTATAATTAAATAAAAATAATAAATTTATTTCTAAATTTTTTATAATTCATTTATCTACTTCAAAAAAAAAAAAAAAATTCTAGTATTATTTATCTGTTATCGGTGGAAAATTTAATTAGAGTACGCCAGTACGGAATATACAATAATAATTCATTTTACGAGAGTGGGAGCGCTCAGAATCGATATATGTATGAACCGGTTCGTGTCATTTCCGATCGATCCAACCTTTTCATGATTTGATCAGATACTGTTCAAAACTGAGTTCAAAAATACCCAGTATCGCAGATCGGTTCGGCACCAAATTTCAAAATTCAAGATCTATCAATCAGTGAGTTAACTAACTGCACAAATTTTTGTATCATTGTTCGAAGAACCGCGAACTGATTAGTTCATGAAAAAAAAACTTTTGTGCTACCATCTTAGCTCTTAACTATTACAACGGTAAAATTCGTTGAAGTATAGATCAATGCATTACGCAATCAAATTATATACTAATAGAGCGTTGGTAGGTCGGTAAACGTTCTTTGTTGCTTGTGCGAAGTCTTTAAAATGTGAGAAGCAAGCAGGAATAAGCGAAGTGCTCTTAAGGTATGTAAATAATTTTTTTTTCTTAGATTCCACGATTACAATAAGAAAGATATTTTCTTGGAGACTACATACTACTATTATTATTATTAGTAATTGTACCTCTATCATGCTCTAAAATTAAATATAGTTTGTTAATTTGTACGGATTTTTTCAAAGACAGAAAAATAATAGTTGAGGTAATCTTTATACAACTTTGTTATTACGTGTATGAAAAGAAGGAAAGAGGCAGAACTTGCATTTTGATCGGTTTTGAGAAAGGTGCTCATATTGATGCAGAGTATTCAATTTAAAATTGATCATTACATCGGTGTTCATTCAAACAATATTAATTAAAACAAAGAAATCAGAATTTTTTCAGCATTTATAATGTCAATTGGTAATGTATACAGTAGCTATACATAATATATTTTATAAAATTTCTGATATTTTAATAGGGAGGAACTTGTCAAATTCCCAGTTGAACTGATTAATTTTTGCAAATGATGATGCGCTTCTTCTGTATTTCTATTAATTAAATCTAATGTCAACATCTACAGTTATATTTGTCCTCTTCCTAATTTTTTAATAACTAATAACAAACCAGAATAAAATGAAGAATATATGGAATATATTAACCTACAGTATATTGCTGATAACAATAAAATACATGGTGAATTAGGCGCAAGAAAAAGACAAACTTCATTTAATCAAATTGTATTTCAAATAATTGTATAAAAAGTAGTAATGTTGAAATTATAACCAGTCATTATATTTAATCTTACATACTTCAAACCAATAATTCATTTTATTGAATATTTTTTTGTAAAAATAACTTATTTTTTCTGTAGAATATATTGAAAATTTATTAGAAAAATATTTTAATAATATCATGGATTATATATGCATTAATTAAAGTTTATTTACCTATAAAGGTAGAAATTGTATTAGAATAATCCATCTTATTTTTATAACTATTGGAAAGTAGTTGAAAAACTTGCTATTCTGCAATTTTCATTAAATTATAACTCTTTTTATATAAAATTTGGTAAATAATAATGCAATTTTAAATAATTTGCAAAGAGAAATATACAAATTATAATTTTTCCTTAATACTAATAATATGCCAAATTACAAAAAATTAATTAACTTTAATTATTATTAAAAAAAATATTTCCATATTTCAAATTTCCTTTAAATAACAATTTTATAGATAGCAAAATAAAGAAAAATAAAAATAATATAAAATAAATAATAAAATAAAAAAATAAAATCAAAATATAATTTCTATATAAATAAAATTTTAGGATATTGCTGGTAATTGTCATTTAATTAAAAATTACAATTTGGCCAGAATTTAAATACTAAATTATAATTTTAACCAGAATTAAAAAATACTAATTATACTTAAATAATATATATATTAACAAATATTAATTTAATGTTAACCATGAGCAATAAAATTTTAAAATTTTTATCAAAAAAATTTTAGTAAAATAAAAAAATTAAAAATTACAATATTATCTTAAAATATATTAATATATTATTGCCATTTTCAAAATAGTATATACAGTTTATTTGTGATTATATATTCAAATAACAGGTTTTCATCTGTTTTTTATTCATATTTTGTCTGATTTTCAGTTTTCTTTTTTTTTATTTAAATTTAACTGTATACATTATTTTAAAAATGGTGATAATATATTGTATTAAAATTATATTTATATATATTATATCAAAATCCTGAATAATTATAGTTAAAATCATATCTAATGTTCTGCATAAACCAATTTTTCCTCTAAAATTTGATTTGATTTATATTCAATTTAGACTTAATTCGACTTCCAAAAATAATTATCTCAGGATTTAATGATTTAATTTTGATGATTTTTTTAATTGATAGCTTTTATTACTCTGATCAAAATAAAATTTTAAATTTATAAGATTAATATTAAATAAATAATTATTTTATATATAAATTAGTTGTAATAGGATTGCTAAATATATTATGAAAAAAATTTATTATAATAATAAATATAATATCTATTAAGTTAATTAGTACAAAAACTTTGAATCTGTATAAGGTTATGCACTTATGCTTATATTTAATAGTCCTAAAAATTCAATTCATACAAATAAAGATGATATAAAATAAATAGTATAATATAATTATATTTAGGAGTTCTATTATAATCTATTGTTTTGCAATAGAGATCGTAAAATAATTAAAATTTGATCAATTTATCAAATTAGACTCATTTAAATTAAAAGTTTTATAATTCAATTTACACTTAAAAAGCTTAAAAATTAACTTAAAATATCCAACTTGATCTAGCTTAAACTTAATATATTAAAAATCTAATTCAGCTTAGACCCAGATAGGACCCCAAATAATATTAATATAACTCACAAGTAAACTTTAAGTACTAAAGTAAAAATACATTTTAGGACATAACTCTATCAATATTGAAGTTAGGAATTCGATTTTACTATCATTAGAATTCTCTCATTGAGTCGAATCCAATGATATAAATTTTATTAAAATTGAATTACTGGTTATGTTAAAAATAGGGGTATGTAAAATAACAAAATTTTAAAAATACCCCTGTAATACACAACTTTTGAAAATTTTAATATAAACTCTATGCAAACTCAAATGTAAGTTGTATTAGTATTGTTTGAATCCTGCACACACTCTTCAATTAGTTATAGGAAAAGCATTAATATGTAATGCTAATATTCAAATTTTTATTCTAAGAGTAAAAAGATTAATATTTTTTTTAATTTACTAAAGCAATTGGAACATTTAATTGCCAATTCGCATGTGATCAATAGAATTTATATAATAAAATGTGTCGCAACATTTATATATAAGCCATGTCAATCATATTTTTATATCAAATAAAATGCAACCATATTGTTATACAATTGCGTAATTTAACACCTGCAATATATGTTTAAGATCTTAGAAAAAAAAAATTTTTTTATAAAAAGTTTTTTTTCTTTGTAGTTTATAAAGTTTTATATGTAGGAAATGAAGATTTCATAGTATTTACTACTATTTTACTTCTATGGTATAAACGATTTCTAACTCTTTAACTTTTCTTTGACGCTTATAAAACTTTTTTTGATTATTATTTCTGTTAACTATTACATTTTTAATAACACTACGCACTTTTATATCTCTTTTTCTTTCACAAATATGTCCAGTTTGTAAAAAATATGAATATAATGAAATATATGAATAATAAAAGGACTTTTATTAAGTTTTAGCGTAATTTCAAAATAGGAATAGTTATCTTGAATTTTTTTCTTAAAAAATAATAAACAAATCATATAAATATGGATATAATAATGAAGTTCTAATATAATAGCGCCAGTTGCAACAAGTTTTTTGGGAGTTATGTATGTATTTGACGTTGTTATTTCTTGGGAAAACAGAGATTTCAAACGGCATTTTTTTTATTAATTAATATAATGCCACATTTTACTATGTAAATTCTATCGATCATATGCAGATCGGCAATTAATATTTGCTCAAGAACAACTTAATTATACAAAAACATATAAAATTGTTAAGGACATCCAAATAAGATAGAATTCATCTTTTTATTCTTGAAAAAAATTATTATTGTTAAAAAATACTTTGGTTTATTTACCTACTAGTAAATTAAAAGCAGATTAAAGGATGGTAATAGACTTGAAAGAATAATGTTAAGTGAGAAGAAATGGAGATTTATGGAAGAATTGGTAATTATTTTAAAAGAATTTGAAAAAATCACAAGAATATTAAATGGTTCTAATTATATTACTTTATCATTATTATATCCTTTGATTTCAAAATTAAAATGCTTTATTGGAGATATGATAAAAAAATATCAAAATAATGAAAATAATAATAACAGTCTTATCTAATGTTTGATCGGACTGACCTGGAGCTGGAAGTATCATTCATAGAATATTTGTGATTATTATGTAATTCAAATATATTCTAATAAAATGGTATATGATTCAACATTTAAAAAAAAAAAAAAATAATAATAATAACAGTCAAAATTTAGATGAAATTTTATCAAATGATGAAATACAAGAAGATATACTAGAGAAATTTGAAGAAATACCTGATAGTGAATCTGCAAATATAATTGAAATCAATGAAAATAGGTCAAAGAAAAACTTAAATATTTCAAATCCAATTAAAATAAAAAGACTAGTTTTATTATTTTTGAATACATTCAGCAAGTCATTAGAAAAATATTGGTTAGTTTTTTCTAATGTTGGCCTTCTTGCTACTCTATTAGATTTGCATTCCAAAAAATTAATATGTTTTGGTTAAACTAAAAAGCAAAGTACTACTACTTTACTTACAGAAAGATATATGATATATAATTTGCAAAAAAAACTTTCATTGAGAAATATGAAAAAGATGACGAAAATAAGATATTATGCTTGATTTAGAGAAATCCTTAATAGATAGTATCTTTGGCGAAGAAGAAAATGAAGATAATGGTGATGAAAATGAAGTTAAAGAATATTTAAAACTCAAGCCAATTAGGAATATTGATTTTTTATTAGTGTTTCACACAAATTGATTCATAACACGGTATGACCTTGATTGCTTCTAAATAATAAAAACGTATTTTGCAAATAACATTTGATCTAGCAGTCTAATTTCGACAATTTTTTTATTTTAATCAGGGTAATAAGACCTATCAATTAAAAAAAAAATCATTGAAATTAGATCACTAGATCCTGAAATAATAATTTTTGGAGGTTGAATTGAGTTTGAATCAAGTTCAAATCGAATCAAATTTCAGAGGAGAAATTTGATTTATGCAGAATACTATTCTTTATCTTGGTGGAAAAAAAATGAAAAAAAATTTCCATTTTTAAGTAATTTGTCCAAAGAGCTTTTTGGAATTTCTGCAACATCAATTCTGTCAGAAAGGTTATTTTTTGATGTAGAAAATTTGATTACAAATAAACGTAATAGTTTAAAACCAGAAAAAGTAGAAAAATTAATCTTTTTAAAAAGAAATTCCAATTTACTTGATATCATGTAATTACTTTAATTTGTAACATAAAGGAAATAATATAAATATTAAATAAAATAAAGAAATAAAGATATAATTTTACTAAAAAAAAATAAAGTTTGTAATAAAATTATGAAATTTGAATATTGTATGAGATTCAAATATCATATATTAATTCGAATAATATATGAGATTCAAATATCATATGATTAATTCAAATATTATATAATATTCAAATCATATTTGAAATTCTATTTCAAATATTTTTAAACATTTAAAATACAATTTGACTTTCAAATAGAAGCTCTAAGATCATGTGTAGGAACAGAAAGATATTTTATTAATGAATTTTACTTTCTTTTTTAGTATCAGAATGACCTAGCTAAGAATAATATAGATTAAATGGTGAGAATATTCAATATTATTGTATTAAATTTGTTTTTGTATATTGTTTAACATTTCTTTTTATTCTAGAATCTAAATATAACAAGTGAAACTGAGATTATTAAAAATAATGAGGATTGCTATGACTATCAATAGGTTTATTTAAAGGCATTATTAAAATCAACTTCAAGAAGTTCAATTAGAGAAATTTGGCAAATTATTCCTTATATAACAACAAAAACTTATCAATATATTATTATACTTAATAATAGTACCCATTTGTGTACCTATTTGTTATTGGAGTTCTATAGAATTATTTGTTATCATTACTTCAAGCTAATGGTAGAAAATCAGAATGCTGTATTTCATATTTTACCAATATCAGCAAGATAGTTGCAAGATAATGCATAGGAAAATATTGAATTTCTATATAACAAGCCTTTTATTAATGCAGGTGGTCATAAGTCTCAGAATATTAATTTACAAGGATTTATTCTCAAACATTATAACAATATTCAAGAAGTTTAAGTTTACTATTAGATGCAGAAAAGGATGAAATATGGTCAAATTATAAGCCATTTTAAGAAAGCATTAAATTATTCAATAGAAGAAAATAATCAAAAGAATTTAGACAATTTGATTTTATCTTACATTGCTAATAAAGAAAAATAGCATAAAACTTAATTGACTATTACTAAAGAACATCAAATTTCAGATGATATTGTAAAGTTATCTGATAAATGTATTTATAATGTTAGTGATATTAAGGATCTATTAGCACATCATGATAAAAGTAGACCTTCTACAAAATAATTAAAAGCTTATAATGAAAAACAAATAAAACAGGTACTAGTAAAAGACAACAAATTAATGTTGATTATGAAAAAAATGAAAAAACAATGTAGGTGAATATAAATATAATTTGTGTCACACAATAGGCCATTATGCTTCTAAGTGTCCTGGCAAAGAGAACATATAACAAAAGTTATAATATCTATAGTAATGTTGAATAATAAGTTAGATAATCATTAAATATATATAAATTGGTATTGATATATGCCAGTAACTGTAATTTTTTAATTTTTATTAATTGTAATTACTAATTAATTAATAAAGTGATATCATGTGATATCACATAATATACCAGTGTGATGTATAATATTTATTGCACCATGTATTAAATAAATTTACTAATTAAATTAATCTATAAATAATTTATATTTTAAATTTTATTTTTGATTGGCTTTAATTTTAATATCAATTCATGTAATTAATGATCAACAATAGAAGTGGTATGTTACTTTTGTAAGTCACTGTATATTACAAAATACTCAAAAGAATTAAACATCTTCAATTAGTTCCGGGTACAAACTCGCATGGGTACAAACTCGTTTGCCATCCCAGGAAGCTGAAATCAAAGAAAATTCGCTACCTGTTAGTTTAACGGATCCAAAAAGGTCTTTATTTATATTTTACTGGAAACTTATTAGTAAAAATTCACATAATAAAAAATACAAGATTAAGCCTTTAAAATTTAAAAATCATATATAAAATACTTTACAGATTCTACTATAAAAGAAAATTTTATGTTACATTGTTATAATTTTTTCCTTTTTAACTAATTAACCAATAGAATTTAAGAAAAAATAAGATAAAAACTATTAGTAAAGAGCTAATTTTTTATGGTTACCTTTATTATAAGTAAGTTGAATCCTTCTGAAATACTATAATCTACAATATATGGTATATAGATGTATTAGAAGACAATTTTCAATTTTTTATATAAAAAGCATTATTTGAAACTAATGCAAGTGATGGTTTAAAATGACTTTTTTAATAAAAAAAAAGAAGATGAAGATAATGGTAATGATGATAATAATGACCTTTTTAGATCAATTAACCAATAGAATCACTGGTAAAATTACTAGTAAATTTGAAATTTTTTTTGAAGATATTTATTAGGAGTAAGTGGGTCCTGTTACTATTAATATTTGTTACCAAAGTTGGTAAAGAATTTTCAAGAATAGTAGAGAAAAAAGAGTTCATGTGATTATTATTTTACATTTCAAATGATTTAAATTGGATCTATTTTAAGTGAATTATATATATTTTGTAATTAAATAATTTCCAGTTTTTTTTTATAACATGCTATAATATAATTATTTATGTATTTATATATTTTTCAAAAAAATCTGGTAATTAATTGCTAGAATTATGAATTATATATTTATATAAAAATATAGATTTATCAATATATCAGTTATAGAACTGAAAAAATAGGTTATATAATAGCTATTTTTACCAATCAATAAAAGATTTGATTGTTATCATAAATAAGCTTTAATAAACTTTCATTTACTATTTTTTTTTTTCTTTTTATAATTAAATAAATACATTTAACTCTTTTTTAATAAAAAATATTATTATGTAAAAATATTAAAAAAAAAATAATGCAAAAGTAAAGTTCTGAATTCCTAGTTTATTTTTTAGTTTTAGTTCTAATCTGATTTTTATATAAAAGTATTTTTAGATCAAAAAAATGAAACTACTTTTTTAACAATACTCTTAGTTTAGTTATTAATCTTTAAATGATAGTTTATCCTATGCAATTTTATTAATTTGGCTCTGAATTACTTTTTAATAATATTCTTTTCCTTTTAATATCCTAATAGTTTGATTATTAATCTTTAAATGATAGTTCATCCCATGCGATTTTTGTCAATTTGGCTCTGAATTACTTCTTTTAATATTTTTTATTATTTCTTTTGATTGGTTTTTTTCTTGATAACTTATTACTGATCATCTAATTATTCTTTAATATCCCAATAGTTGGCAGTTCATCCCATTCGATTTTTATCAATTTGGCTCTGAACTACTTCCTATTACATTTTTTCTTTCTTTAAATAATTTTTTTTTTCTAAATAAATTTTAAAAATGATATTTCAATACAATTAATTTTTTTAATATAATAATTTAAAAATGATTTTTCGGATGAAAATTATAAGGTATTGTTAAATAACTTACTGTTAAAAATAATTTTTCAACAAAAATTGTATGTTCACGTAATCATATCGGCCAAAAAAATCATGTGAGCGTGAATCTTTGTTGACGATAAAGTAACAAATAATTTTATCTATTTCATGGAACAATCGATTGGACACTCTAATGATAGTATATTTGGTGACGAGTAATATATGATTATATATGATTAATGTACATAAATACAGTACATCCCGATTCACGAGTATATACTTTGTCTTAGGAACTTTAATGAAAACAATTGATTTTATATTTAATCAAATAAAAATTATCTTTTTTTTAAATTTTCAGACTAATTTTTAATTCGATATAAACTTTTCTATAAATAATTTCGAATGGCAGTTTTTACAACATACCTTAAGGTAACCTTTAACTAGGTCGACATTATATTGTAAGTTTACCCGGCAGTCAAAATTAATACCGATACATTACATAATCATTATGTATAATATTTTAAATTATTATAACGTAAGTATATTATATAACCGAGAATTTGTTTAGATAATTTACTTAAAAAAAAAAAAAATATGGTTTATATACGTATTAATGAATGAATAATTAATTATAAGATAATTAAAATAATTAATTATTGTTAAAAAAATTATTAAAACTTAAAATGTTTTTCGACTTTTGATATTTCAAACATACGCTCGTACATTTTCTACCCCAATAGATATTTTTTTAAAGTAATCAATGCGGTCGATACAATTGTTTCATAAACAAAATGCGAATCAACGTAATTGAACGTATTGATATGTAAACATCAAATATTGATACAATATCAAAAAATAAAATTTCTTCCAATTTTTTTCAAGACATTTCCTGAGATAATTATTATAAATCGGTTATCGGTATAAAATTAAAGTATAAAACCAAATTAATTCATTTATTTATTATTTATTTTTATAATTTTTTTTTTTTACATATCAAATATATATATATTACATGGATAAATAAATAACAGGATAATCCGTAAAAATGAAGAAATCGGTATTATTTTAATAAATTTTTTTTTTTTTAAAAAAAAAAAATTTATTCTTTGGGATTAATTTTTTATTTATGTTTTAAAAAAAAAAAAAAAAATTTTTTTTTTTTTTCAAATAATAAATAAACAATGAACAATATCATAGAATACCTTCCTTTGTATTATGAATGCATGATAAAGTTTTCATTATTTTTAGATTATCTAAAAAAAAAAATTTTTTTTTTTTTATAGTAAATCTCTATAATAATTTTTAATTTACCTCTCACGATCATTTGAATCACATTTGAATCATTTGAAAATTTGAATGATTTTTTTAATAGAAGGAAAAATGGAAGATTTTTTTCAAAAATTAACTAGTGAAAGCTGTAACCAATTCATTTAAAATTCCATTAATATTCTTAAATGGGTATGTTCCTAAATAATTTATCCAAAATAGCTATCCAAAATAGCATCCAAATAGCATCCGAATGTCATCTAAATGGACATCCAAATTGACATCCAAAATTACATCTAAATGACACATAGGATGTGAAGTTTACTTTTAATATATTTTTAAAAATCGCGTACCCGAATAATCAGGTATTTTTTTTTTAAAAGAACCCTTAAAGAGATCAGATCATCTGGTAATACAAAAAAATTATTCCAGGATTTCCAGTATTAATACCTGTCATTAAAGTTTCAATCCAATTCGAAAAAAAAAGAAATGTTTGAAATGTTTTTGAAATGTTTTGAAATGCGTTATTTTGTAATCAAAAATGTGATGGATTTACAATACATAAAAATGGTAACGCGCAAAAGAATAGAAAAAAAAACTTTCGATTACGAAAACAACTTGCATTTCGCATCTCTTTAAACTTTAAAAACTTGATTTTTTTGTAAAGTTCAGATGATCTTTATTCATTTTTTTTTTTTTTGATTCAATCCATTTAATCCATTTAATCCATTTAATAAAAAATGAATGAACTTAAAAAAAGTAATCTGATGATGACATCTTTTTTAAATAAATGTTAGTACATTCGGCATACATTCGGTATTCTCCTTTTTAATTACGTTTAATATTATTATTACACCAAAATTGTTATTATAAAATGTACAATCTTTGACTAAAAGATCTTCATTAATGTTAGATTTCGGTAAGAGAGATCCGTTTTTCCTTTTCTCATCGAAAAGCTCGGACTTACATACCTTGTGGGGGAAATTAAGCCAAATAGTCGGAGTGGTAAATTCCGTAATTTCTGCAAGTAAGAAAATGACATAATTAAAGAGGGGTTTGTTTCATTTGAAAGAGTTTTTTATTTATAGGTAATAGGTTATTGTTCCATTGTATAAACCATACCATATAGGCAGGCATATACTTGATGATAGAGTTTTTTTTTGCAAAGTAATAAGTGGAAGGACCCTTTTGTTTTTTATTGACAAGATCTGCATGCATTATTTTGCATAAAATACGTACTAATTCATTTTAGTACCATTTCTCGTTTGTTGTGGGGAGATAAAAAGAAAAATTCTTAGGTCATTGTTTATAAAAGATATGGTGGAATCTTTTAGGTTTATAATTATGCTGAAACGCCTAGAAAAAATCTAATGCAAAACAAAACTGTACTTGTTACTCGTCATAAATACGTTGTCATAATTTGATTCGTTAAACGAATGTTTTTAAAGTTCGAAAGAGTAAACATTTTTTGTTTCGTAAATAGGAAGAAGAAAAGAGTAATTCAATAAGAGATTAAAAGGAAATCATTATAAAGAGAAAGCATGTCGGCGTTTTTATATTTATTTTTATTATTCTTTCTTTTTCGATTTTCGAGAAATAAATTTAGTAAAAATAATAAGTAAACTTTGAGCATTAATAGACATCAAAAGATACAGTAATTACAGTATTTTTGTAGTGGTTGTAATTTGTAAATGATTTGTAAATGAAAAAAAAAAAAGCCAAAGATGTCAGATGATTATCTATTATTGCATTATTATTATTATTATTATTTTAACTTATTTTTTTTGGTCTATTCAAAGAAAAAATTTGTTTGTCAAACAAAAAATATCCGACTGGACTGCGCATTTCCGCATTTCAATACGCATTTCAATACGCATTTCAATAAGCATTTCAATAAAAGGATAATTTTAGCCAAAATTAGTGTATTTCTTCTTTTCCTAAATTGAAATTAGAAAAAGAAATAAAAATGTATATATATATCAGATATATAAATATTTTGATTGGATAATGCAAAATTATGCAAAATTATGCAAATATATGTAAGATTATGCTGATAAGCTGATTAATGTTATGCAGTACTATATTATCCAAACATCCACCCTCTTTTTGACCCTTTTTTAAATATGCATGGCTTAGGAAATTCACTTATTCCACGTTTAACAACGTTTAAAAAAATTTTTTAAGCTTAAATAGGTTTGTTTTACTGTTCTTTTTATTTTTTTTATTTTATTATAAAAAATGCATTATCTTTAATATATCTATTAAAACTGTCGTACTTCCATAGTTAAAAATTATGTGGTTATCGTGGTTATTATTGTGGTTATTGTGGTTATTGTGATAATTATATTTGTGTACTTTTATGTACATCGGAGTAATCGAGAAAGAAAATAAAAAAAAAGAAATAATGAACTTTTTTTTTTTCGTACAATAAATGCACATTATCTAGTGTTCGTCACAAAAAGAAAAAAAAACGCGATAAATGATA